TGACAGATTGCGCATAGTACAAATCGGAAAGCGCCTTAATTGTATCTTATCTTAGCGCAAGTACAAAGTAGAAAAATATAAGCAAAGCAACTTAATTCATCACTGTTCTCGCTCGGAGTGTGTTCTGGTGTGTTCGACCACCTAGGCTTTAACGTGCACCGAAATCTGAACACACGGGCATACAGCATTTTCGCCTCCATCGAAAATGCAGCCGCCACAGCCGGGATTTCATCCCGCGACCTGCGGGTCAGCAGCCGAGTGCTTCAGCCACTAGACCACTGTGGTGGGGCACATGACTGTGAAGTATTCTGTACATACACCGATTAAATAATACAAAACTATCAATGCAACGATACTGAATGGGCGTTTATTTCTATTTCCCCGATATGCTGCAGCTTTTAAAGGAATCATAACTTTGTGGTGGTGGCGCCGTATTTGTTCCATGCTTCTCTTCCGATCCATTTGAATTTCCAGGAAAACTACCGCGCTGATTGCCACCATACCAACGTTATTTGTGGCTGTGCCAGCTCAGCTGTGCACGCAGGGTTCACAAGTTTTTCATTGCTTCTGCTGCATCGGTGCCCGAAAGTGGCTGCGTGTTTAGTGCGTTGATGCAATTATTCATGTCTTGGGTGATAAAAACATGGAGAATAGAAAAAGAAGGAAGGGAGTGTTACTTCAGACGAATAAGGACCACTGTGTCGGCCCGACACGTCGCCAAGTACTTGAAAGCGTGTGGTAGGTTTTACTATTTTAGGCGGCGATGTGTTTTTGAACCATGTGCGTACATAAACTTTCTTATATGTGCATTAGAGGGAACTGTGACGCTAGTGTCTATGGGAGCTGCAACGCCGTACAAATTTATTCTCGACATCAACCTCTAAAGTAGCTGGCAGGTTGTGCACGGTGATTTCGGAGATCGGGAGCCTCTCCACCGCATATAACGAACTGACAAAACTTTTTTACCTTGGTCGGGACCAATACCCTACACTACGCGTAAAATTAGGCTGAGAAAGAGGGGAAAACGGTTATTCATATTGGGGCAAGTTCTGTATGTTTCAACAGACCTCAGGCTCTGACACTCAGGCTAATTTCAATGTCTGGGGCTACCCTGTCCCCGCACTATTGCAAAATATTTCTACTGAAATGAAACCAACTAATGCATGTTGATTATGAGTGGGTATAGTGAATCAAGAACGTATGTTCCCGCGGTGACCCGCGTTGCATGGCGATGAAGTAATTGCGCCATTTCAACGGGAAGCTGCTATTGCCAGCTGCGGACTAGAACAAATCTTATCGGTGGCCCAAGGAGCCTCCGACACAGCAGAGAGACTTGGCCTTTTTGATCGGGCGTGTGAACGACCCGCAACGTGCTACACCGCATACTACAAGACCGCAATGAATGAATGGATGAATGGAATGTTTATTTCGTTGAAGGGGGATAGCTTTTGGGCAGCAGTTTGGGAATAAGCGGGGAGTGGATTGTTGTGCCACTAAGAAGCTCGTCTATCCGTTCGTCCATCTGTCCGTCCATTTCAAGCACGTTCAGAAACGTGTTTGAAACATGAGCGGCACTTCATTAAGAAATAACTTTTCATTTTAATTCACGCTGTAAACCTCGGTATTATTTAGACACTTTGATACTGCAAGGTTCGCCTGATTCTCGAGCAAACCCCTTGAGTTGGTAGGTGTCAGATATTCCCAGAGCAATGTCATTACCATGATATTTGAGAAATTGAGCGACTTCTTAGTGGATCGAATATGGTAATATGAGCCACCGATACAGACTAGAAAAAAATTGGGCTTAATGTTTTACGTCGTTTTAAGGTTCATACTCAGAAACGGAAGTCCGTGTGATTATATTATGCCAAAGCTGCGTATGGCTATACACCTTTGCATCGGGCGAGGAGGTCTGGTCTGGCAACAAGAATCGTTCCCATCACTGCTGACAAACAGCCGACCATTGTCAGGAAGCTGAAGACGAAGAAGAAGACGAGCTCAAGATGGGCAACGCTTTTCGCAAGGGCTCGAGTGATCAGCGCAGCGGCCTGACCGATGGCGAGAAGAGGCTCATTCGCAACAGCTGGCGCAAGTTCTGCGAGCAGAATCCCGACTACGGCGTGCGCATCTTCATCAGCATGTTCGCCAAGCACCCCGAGTACCTGCAGATGTTCCCCAGGTTCAGGGACAAGGAGCTGCAGACGCTGCGCGACGACGCCAAGTTCCGGGCGCACGCATGCGCAGTGGGCCACCAGCTGTCGGCCATCGTGGAGTGCATCGAGGACGACGAGGTGTTCATCGAGCTCATCCGCAAGAACGCCGCCAATCACCTGCCCAGGGCCGGCGTGAGTCCCTCGAACTTCGAGAGCCTCTTCGCGGCAGCGCTCGAGCAGATGGTGGCCAGCAACAAGGCACTCATGACACCAGCCACTATGCGCGCCTGGGAGAAGCTTTTCAAGGTGAGCTAGGAAAATGATTTCCTGTAATAGTTATAACCTGGGGCTGCGCACCGCGACGCCTGGTTACAGGTTCCTGACGTGCCCAGGAAAGCCCTAGTTTCCCAGCATGCGAGTGGCGGGTTCGTGTTTTGCCGCCGTTTTCCATAGTATCGACCAGTTACGGCTAGGGAGCCTGCACGACCGCAACGTGGTCTTGTAGGCTCCCTAGGTACGGCGCGAAAGAAGATGCATCGTGGGCCAGTGTGACATGAACATTTAGTTAGACGCTGGAAAATCAATTAGTGAAATGAGTGCTCAAATGTGTCAGAAAATTGTTTTATTTGTAGGGACTAGCGTCTGTATGACGCGTTAACCATGAGATTACGAACGAATGCGAAACGAAGACAGATTGGTCTCGTGCACGGTTTAACAGCATCTTCCTGCGACGACTTGGCATCAACGTTTCTAGTCAAACCACGGCCACGCACGCAGTTCCCGTCGCTGTTAGCAGCATCCTAATAATCTCGCCACTCCCCAAAAACATTCACCCAGAACACCATTGAACGTGACGGGAAGCTAGAGCCTAAGCCCTTCACAAGCGCTTCCCTCCAAATTATCCGGCTGCCTACGTGAACGTGTCCAAACACGGAAATCATCCAGCTCTCAAAATAGCCGTTGTAGACAAAGTCCAACAACTGGTCGCCAGTGCGTCCTTTCCAAATTCGATAGGATCCCTGGAAGCAGATGAGGTGGCAATTTGCCTTAGCCATTGTTCCCTCCTCCTACGACTGAATGTAAAAAAAATAAGAAATGAACCGGCACCTGTTTTGCGCACGAATGCAACTGATGATCGAAGCTCCTTAGAAATGAGACGCAATCGACTTGCGCGCGCCTGATATTTCTTCTGGCTTTCATGAAGAGGGTAGGGCTGGGGCAACGTTATTGTAAGCGGTACAGTTTCGCAGCTCTGCTCGTGAGCCGCCACACGCGGCTGACGCGTGAACGCGGAGGCGACACACATACCCCAGCGAGCTAAGAAGTTCGTCGAGCAGCCACTTGTGACTCTCAAAATCGTGCCTTGATTTAGGGACGGCAAGCAAACCACAGTAGTTAATAGAAAAAAGATGGTACGTGGACAAACACCCATTGAAATCGGCAGGATCCAATGTTGCAGAACCTACCTGCCCTTGAATCAGGTTTCAGTGCTTTGGATTGTAAAAATATTTTGTTAAGCAGAGCACCAAACCATTGCTAGGATAGTCACCGTACTTCATTAACCAAAGTTTTGCACCAGTCGATTGATAAAAGCAAACCGCCGAGGAATAGACATGTCTTACACATTGGCGTTACTTAATATAGGTATTTCTAATTTTCAGGTATTTATATCACACTATCCCAATGTCCAGTTTTGCTGACACATTTTGACCTTTAGTCAATGTTGTGGGATCCAGAATGGGTGCAGGTACATTTGGGTTTAATTCCCAGTGCCTTCTTCTTCTGGCTCGCTGAGGGTGTTCGTTTTTTTAGGCGCCTTCTAAGTGACTTCAATGAGTCATGAGAAGGTTTGTGTGTGACAAGAAGTGAGCGAAAGCCTTCATTGGCACACGTGATTTCATTTCGCAGATAATGAACAAAATCACCAGAAACGTATATGAGGATGCGGCTCAGTTCTCGGATGCCACCCAGGAGACTTCGTCGGGAGACGACCTCTCACTGGTTGACCCTGGTGCTGCTTCTTCTGACCACTCCAAGAGTGACGCAGTCGAGGTTTTTGCCGGTTGCAAGACCGCGCAGGAACCCCAGACATGCCAGGGAACTGTCACTGGTACCCCTGTCACTGCTGCTGCCGCTACCAAGGAGAGTGCACATGGGGCTCCCAGGACTTCGGTACGCAGTACTACTGGCCCCACTGGAAGCGTTAGTCGCACGACGATGAGATCATCGAGCACAGCGAGCGAAGCGAACGGTATTTCGAGCAAGCCTACCTGCCGCGAAGTTGCCGAGTCTTCACAACGGAGGACGTCGGCGCCCGTGGAAAAGACTGGCAGCACGCAAGCACCACGAGCTGCCGCACAGCGCTCCTTGCGCGGCGCAGTGTCTTCGGAAAGGGCAGGGAAGAAGTCCGGTCAAGATGCGTCGTCACACGAGAACTCGGATGCAGCTACGCTATAATTTATCGACGCTTCCTTTATTATTAAAGCGACATTATAGTGCTGGTGTATAGGTATTTACCATCGACGCTTATTAACCGAACATTCATTGCTGCGCACATCCTGGTTATGTATATTTGTTTTTGCTGTCTAGTAGTCGATGCGTGCCCCTGTGTTGAATTAAATTATTTTAGCAGAGCTCATAAAACGTTTCTTTAGAAAAATCTACGCTCAATGAACACCTTTGTTTGCGGTCACTGCCCAACCAGCAAAAATCATTCCTTAAGAAAAAAGGGAATTCTCATTCAAGGCATAAAGGATACGTTATGCAGCGATCCATGTGAAATGAATTCATTACAGAACAGCTTTGAATCAAAGGTTGAAAGATTCATTGTGTTAATAAAAGAAGCAATGTTAACATAGTACGAAAGCTTTTTTTATTGTATAAAATGTTGAAATCTTTGAAGGTAAGTACAGGGGGCCCATGTGGAGCCAACATCCTTAACTGGTTCTCGCAAGTTGAAGTTTTTAAGAAAGTGTGATCACTTCTACGCCATAATCAGTGTTTTCGAGCAATCTGAAGCTGCTATTTTCACGCTGGACTAAGCCCTTCAAGCGGCGAGCATATCAGGGCACCAATGAAGTTTCGTCTTTTCCGTAGTGAGCGACTTTTGTCGGTAGTGAACCGCGATGGATTAGACTGCGAGCACTTGCGAACACCACTTTCATGCCAGCATCCTTGCGCTGGCAAGGATGCCATAACCATATTATGGCAGGAGTAATAGCTACTTCACAAAGTGTGTCGAGTGTAGCTGGTGATGGTTGACTCGTGCAATGTCGCAGCGACTGCTTTTCTCGCGGGTGACTTGTGTTAGTGACCCAAAGAATGATCAGCCAGATTTATGCGTATTCTTATAATACGTTTTTCAAACATGGTTAGACATGTTTGTTACAACATCCGAGCGTGGCTATTCTCGAGTCCGAAAGAGAATGATTGATTAGGGGGACGAACGGGGGTAGAGGCCAAAGCTTCTACCCCTGTCATTCTCTACGGACGCAAATGTTATCTCTCTCTATCTCTCTCTCTCGTAATTAAAAAAACATTTACTTAGCACTACGAATACAGCTCTGAATCTCTCCCTTATTGCGGCACACTGAATTTAGTCTCAAGCGTTGATCCTACTCCTGGCGTCTTGCCACTCCTTCGTCCACAGGCTCATGAAATCGGACTCCTTGGACGCTTCTTGTATCCTTTCCTCCATCCTCGCGAGCTGCTCTTTCGTAAGAGTTTCCCGCCATCCACCAGCCTTCCCAACGCGAACGAAGTTTATCTCCTCTTTCGCCTTAGCGCGAGATTCTTCTGTCGCCAGTTTCGTCATCTTGGCTAAGATCTCGGGATTCTTTACGAAAAGACAGGCCAGGTCCTGATTATTCACCTTCATAAATCTTTTCATGTAAACAACGCTGCTGCAGTCCAGGATCGTTTGAAGTAACTCCTCATCCTCTTCCAATTGGCGTCCGTACTCGTCGCCGAGGAAGTGTGCTAGCTTGATTATCGTGCCGCGCTTGTCCTGCGTGAGCTGTTCGTAAGTCACGAAGAAAACATTGGGCTCTTCCCTGCGTGCGTAGCCTTCCGCTATGTGCTTGAAGTAATCACCAAACCCTGTGTCCCCTCTGAGGAAGGCATCGAGTACTTCGTCGAAACTTGCATCCCGCAACTCCCACTCCGGTAGCGGCTGCATGAAGTGGTAGTACGAAATGACTACGTCCCAGGGGTTTCGGGCTATGTAGACGTACTTGGCCTTCGAGTCGAACGATAGACGACGAAATGGCAAGTGAGTGCGCATGGTACGCGGAGCCTCCATTCCTTCGATGGCTTCTTCGCCCTGGTACTCAATGAACGGGGCCCGTGCCACGAATTCCTCGAAGTTGCGTGGTCCGTCGCCCTTGTGCAGAATGAGCTGTATGATCTGCTGCACCCAGTGGGTACCGCACTTCGGAAAAGCCACCTGCAAAAACAACGAAACGTCATCAATGCTTTAGGTCGGCGATGCACAAAAGTTATCGCGAGCCATCTGAAAGGCATTTGTAAAGTGACCAGACATTCCTATTGAGGCGGGCCTCGTTTTCCGGCAGGGTCCCGCTGTCGGGCCAGCCCGCATTTGGGACTTCGTGGGGGCCGGAGCTACGTCCTGCTGAAGTAGTGCGTTTTTTCTCTCTATTACCCCCCTATTTCTTAATGAGAAAGAAAAGTTGATTGATAAAAAAGTTGGGTAGGACCCTTTAAGTAAACGCATTGCGAATCCGTTCCCAGCTTTCTGAAAGAAGCATATGAAAATTTAAAAGAGGCCTAATTGCCCTTATGTGGCGTCAGGCAGGCGCGCTGTGTCGACTGAAAACGAAGTTGTGTTATTGGTTCTCCTTGGACAGTTCCTCACTAATACATGTTTATTGCTGAATTGCACTCAAGTTTTCGTTAGCGTCGAAAATAAATTTTTGGTTATGTAGTGCGACAACAGTTAAGATATATTAGATATAAAAGTGGTGCCTGCGCGTGCTTGACCGATACAAATTTTTCTTGGGTCAAACTGAACGCAAGATCACGTAAAAAACGTTTAACCTTGTGTGACTTTGAGCATTTGTCTGTTGTTAGAAGCACATCTTGATGAAAAATAGAACATGAATGAATCACTCAAAAATTGGCTGAATGAATAAGTCAACAACACCAAGAACCCAATTAAATTTGATTTCCAACGTACAGTTTATTAGAAGCCGGTAAATGATAGATATCCAACATCAACATCTGCAGTATACTCATGCACATGTTCGGAGTTTGTCCATGTGGCGGCCTCGAACAAACTAATTTTAAACAGATTTGGGGGCTGGAACACATCTGTGTCTCTTGTATGTTGTTTGAAAGTTTTAGCTTATAGTTTTTTCAAGTATAGCGCACCAGATAGCTAGGGCACTCACGTTGTTAATTGTGTTAGGGACTATGAGAATGTAGTCAATGAATGAATGAATAAATCATTGGGGCTTGTGCTGCACAATTCACGACCAAAATAATTAAGAAAGTTAGTATGTGACGCCTCAGTACTCCGCATTTTATTATTTCGCCCCTTTCGCCGAAGAGCTCATAAGTGTTGAACGTATTATCGCAGCCCATCTTTAGCTCATCTGGTCAGTAGCTTTTAAGCACGACACATGACAACGGGTCATCGGTCTTACCTGCACAATGTCCCCTTCCCGCAGTTTGAGCTCCTTCGCCTTGAAGAAAAGCTCTTTATCGACAATCTTGCCGTAGGAAACGCCATCGACTACCAAGGAGTTGTGCTCGCAGTCCTCAGAACCCATCTGATTTCTGGTCTCTCACCTACGAGACAGCGCAGAAAAAGTGTGTGTGTTCAGAAAGCATTCTGGGACACCTACATCTGCATTTAAGAAATAGGCCGAAGTTCACACACATTTATCTAATAAGAAAGCAACCTGTCACTCTCACGCTGTCAAGGAAATATCCTTATTGATCAGTGAAACAAACATCACCTTCGAATTGTGGTGCCCCGCCGCGGTGATCTAGTGGCTAAAGTACTCGGCTGCTGACCCGCAGGTCGTGGGTTCGAATCCCGGCTGCGGCGGCTGCATTTCCGACGGAGGCAGAATTGTTGTAGGCCCGTGTGCTCAGATTTGGGTGTACGTTAAAGAACCCCAGGTGTTTGAAATTTCCGGAGCCCTCCACTACGGCATCTTTCATAATCATATGGTGGTTTTGGGACGTTAAACCCCACATATAAATCAATCAATTTGAATCGTCGTGAAAAGTTAAAGCTGTGCGAAACCTGCGTTAGAGACAACCGTAATAGATGAAGCGGGTGAGTTGAATAGGGCATAAATAAATGTTTAGAAAATTGGCATTAAAATTGAAGGAGCCACTTTCTGAGGACTGTCAGTTCTTCTGTAAAATTAAATATAACAAGCACAAAATTTATAAGGTTCACTAGACTAATTGACTATGTCTTTCGTAGCAAACATTAATTATTTTACTGAGAAATTTGCTACATGTTGCGAACAGAAATACGCAACCCTGATTCTCGTCATTAGATATCTGGCAGTGCACTCGCACATTAGCATCCGTGCACTCTGGTGCATTCCTTGCGTTAACATCGTGCTTTGGCGAACTGCTGGAGTGGATCACAGGGGCCACGCGTAAAGAATTGCGTGGATCTGATTTGCTTTGCCAGGTGCCGCAACGTTCCCAGCCGCTCACAAGAAAAGCGTATGCTCTATCAATAATCTTATTCATACAATTTTCATTGTTACAACTGATAGAGAAGAGGCTCTTATCTCAAGTAAGCATAAGTTCTGATATCATAATTTCTCTATTTCTTTCCGCCATTCTTTCAACTTTCTGCAGGATTTGTGCAGGAGTGGGAGCAAAAAAAAAACACCCATTACACAAGTAACAATAAATATAGCCGTGGCAGGTTTGCTGAAGAAATACAAATTAAGTTGAAGTAGACTACACGCACATAGTTATGTGAAATGGGTACAATCGATCATTTTATCAAAGTGTAAAAAAAAGAAAAGACCTGATGAATCACACTTCCAACAGTGTATATAAATACGAATAGTAGCAAGCAAGCCATTACAAGCAAGTGCACATACTATACGCATCCAGTATATTTCCTAGCTTGAGCCAGATCCATGCCTTTCGTATCACAAACTTTTGAGATGTCTTTACCTGAACGTTCAGATCACCGGTAACAAAGGCTCGACTTGAAGTGCTTGGTTGAACAACGATGCAGTGCAGGAATGTTACGCGGTGGTTTCCCGCTATGGCTATACAGTGGCGCTACAGGCGCGCAACTCCAAGATCGTTAATGTATTCGGTTGGTACGCTAGCTTTCCCGCTCTAACTGCGAGCTGCCTTAGCATCTGACAACTCTGAGCCAGAAGGCCAGAGCGTGCCAACTGAATACACCATTGAGTTGGACTGCTGGCAGTCACTAACAAAAAAGGAACGTTCATTCCTATAGCACAAGTGCTATACTTACACGCAGTATTATGGCAGCCGTCATGTGCTGAAGTGCATGACGTGTCGACTGCTGTGTACACATAAGTGAATTCGTCCCCATAAGGACCAGATCTGCTGACTGCTATTACGTGGTGGCTGAATTCAATGATAACTATAGACATTATCGAAGACATTGTTAATTGACTTTCAAACATTTCCTTGTACGTTGCGATGGTGTTGTTTGATATCAGCGTGTTAACATATGTGGGCTCGTGCGTTTTATATTTTTGTACTGATCTTTGTTTTTACATTAAGCTGTATGCTCAATATCCACTCAAGGGCTAAGAGCCAGCGCATTACCTGTGCGCGAACATCTCCTTATATATCATAATAAATCGTAAAGTTGCCGTCTGCTATCGTATTTATCCAATAGGAATGTTCACTTCAGTCATCCCTGCCACGGCGTTCTAGTAGCTATACTCGGCTGCTGACCCGCAGGTCGCGGGATCGAATCTCGGCGGCGCCGGCTGCATTTTTAATGGAGGCCAAAATGCTGTAGGCCTGTGTGCTGAGATTTGGGTGCACGTTAAATAACCCCATATGTTAGAAATTTCCGTAGCATATTTGGTGGTTTTCAGACGTTGAAACCCACATACCAATCAAAGGTAACTTCAACCTGAGCCATTCGGTTCTATTTTTTAGTTAAAATGATGTGGCGCACCGAGAAGAAGAGGAAGAAAGGGGAGATAGGGCAGAAACAGCACCCAGCCGTCATGCACTATCACAGCGTAGCCTGCTGCCAAGCTTTTATATTTAGAAATCTTTTTGGGAATATTCTAGAAACCGTAAGCAAGTGCTCCGCCAGATTGAATCGGAAGACAAATATTGTCGCATGATGCAAGTACAGCTAATAATGTTCGAAATACCTGTTACCTCTCGCACACGTCTAAGATTTATATAGTCCTTTCAGTCACGGTGTGTACAAATATACACGCCAACTTCAATGGCATCTGAAGCCCCTCTTGTTTCACCGAATGGCTTGAAATTAGTGTGCATATTCATGCAGGCTTCTCGAGTGGACAACTGGCGATCATTTATTTTATAGTGCTGCGTATTGCTGCAGAGAATCACTTTGCTGGATACACTACTATGCTCGACAATCGTTTGACGTGACGCGTTCAGACACCTACGTAAAAAAGTATTTTTTAGATGCGAAGCAGCTCTTTGACTAGCCTATGTAACACTGTCCCTCCGTAAGAACGCGCCGCAGGTGTTGGCGCAGTGCCAAGTAGGTCACGTCACCGCTGCACGTTGACGTCATGCTGGCCTCGCAGTGTGCGCACTCTTTTCTTCGCCTGCCGTGCGCTCGCCGCGGCGGCCGCAGCTGCCGCATCGTGCGTTCTCTCGCAACACTCTCCGCGACCGCCGCTCGCTACACCGCCGACTCATTGGTTCATGAGCAATGAACCTGACACACGCCTAACGTGCGCGCTGAAACATGTTTGTACGTGTCAGCTGCAAGACCTACGCCAGCCATCGTTTGAAACGGGCCTTCCAGAGCTCACCACAGCACCCGCATTAGCACCGCTGCAACTGTGACGCCACCCGTGCGCAAAGCATCCCATCAGAGTTCCCTTCGGGGAGATGACCCAAGTTTTCTTTCTTCCATCACACAAATACAACCAAAGAACAAAACAAAATGTGCATGCGTTTCGGTCCTAATAGGAGATTCGTTTTATCCAAGTACTGAAGCTGAGTGATGTCAGAATAGTTAAATAATTAGTTACACACTCCTTAACTCTAACTACTAAAGTTCTCACAAAACAGTGATTCCCTTCATTTTTTTTTACTTGCAATGCGATACTGATTGCCTTGGAATTACGCCACGCGAAGTTGACGCACTTCTGACAGCGCATCATAATTCGTGACTGGATAAGGCACCTCTTTGGGAATGTTGTGCTTGGTCTACCCTGCCCACGGGCAGAAAGTGCACGATTCTCAACACGCACTGCCACCCAGCTCGAGCAAGCAACGACGTGACAGTGCATAATAAGCACATTGTTATATCTACCAACAGTGGGTCATTGCTCACAAAACTTTCCTTTTTTATACACTAAAATTAGTCTCGCAGCAAAAAAGAGAAAGAATGCGTTGCGGCAATACTTATAGCACCATTCTTGCTGAATAAAAATGAACGCAAACTAACTTCACATCTACAGCTTTACAGGCACTTACGAAATTCACAAGGTCAATGATAGCGCAGCAAAAGCTGTTCGTCATGATTCTGTTTAGGATAAATAATAAGAAAAAGCACTCACAACAGCACTCCGCCTTTCGGCATTCGCTCAGAGAGGCATGCCCGTAATGTTGGAGGCCACGGAGTCTTAATGTGTTTCGGAAACAGAGAGCATATATCTAAAACGCTGCGTTTCAAGCTATTCCGAAAGCCTACTGCATCTGGGAAAGTATTCTCTCGCGTAGAGAACACGCTAGTTTCCACAACAAGCATAACAGAGCGCCTCTGCAGTGATAGGGATTTACGCATGTTGGTGCAGTGTTACGGTTGCAGAAGGAAGCAGCCCTCGTAAAAAGTCTTTTTTTCGCAACCCTGTCTCGGTGCTTCGCGCGAGTACAGGTTACGCGGGGCCTTCCGACATTGTTTGCCCGGAGATTGTCTTATTGGCAGCGCTTTTATGTGCCCTATCTCGCATTGTACGTTGTACACGTGACAAAAGCGTTGTCGGAGCGCTGGTCCTATTGATAGGACTCTCGAGTGCGCTTACGGTGCGAAATGCCGTATCGGTGACGGGTGCACAGCCGTCATAAACACATAGTTTGTATCGCGTTGAACACTCAAGATTCCTTCACTCTGCGGTGCAGCTCGGTACAGTGTGGCAGGCCAACATTCTAGCGTAGCATATTGGACAACGAGGTGGTTTGCCGAATTGCATAACACTCTTTGGATGTTTACGGCAATCGTAAAAAAAAAACATTTCTTGCCATAAAATAGCGACACTCTGTGAGCGTAACAGGCATAAAGTGTAAAATATTATCGCACAGAAAAAGACCCCCGTTTGCGTAGAATATAGTCTGAAAAGGCAAAACTCCTAAAAGGTGTAATCTAAGCGACCACGAAGGAACTCTTTCTGATTTAGATAATCTTTATGCAGTTATAAATAATACACTCTGCAATTAGCATTTTCCTCTTAGAAATACCTACAATATTTGCTCTACTTATGTTTGTAAAATAGTGTGTCTAACTTGCTGCAGTCAGTGCTTCGATGTTTGTTGCTATTACGCACTAGCAACATGCTTGAAGACAATTCGAATTCATGAACGTCAGCAGCCCCTAGTAGGTTATG